TAGTTTTTAGCGATCGTTTCAGAAGAAAGCGTCGGTAATGTTGAATGAATTTGCGCAACTGCTTTCTGCTACAGATGCAGGGTATAGGCACAGAATGCAGTGATCCGAAGACCTGAAAGGCTGTAATAGCCTAATCCCAAAGCACTCAATATTGTTGACCACAGCAGTGCAAACGAGCATCGGCCCTCGTGGCAAACGGAACAAGATCACTGAAATTGAGGTCATGTAGAGACTTCAGGTGATGACCGTCGAAGCCGTCCATCAATGCAAGCAGTGTTGTACCGTAAAAGAAAAGCGTCGATGACAGGTCTCTTGAAGTCAGGGGTGATGCAGATGTGGCCAATCAAGATGCCACAGTACGTTGGTAAATACCTCCGTCGACATCCCTCAACAAGGCACTACAGAAACTGAATCGTTCGCAACTTTTGGCACACCACTTCGAATTAATCCAGCTAATGATGCCGCTGCCACGCGACTTCGACTTCGACCTGGACGATCCAAATTGTAGCAGGTGAAACCTTCCATATCCAGAATGCTGTCGTCGTCATTGCCGCGCAGCCAAGTTTCTTGTAGTAGAAAAACGCATATGCTGTTCCAAACCGACATCGACCGTCAAGAGGGCCTTCAGTTCGTCGAGTTTAGGCAGGATGGCGAGGCAGTTGTTGGAAATTACAGCCGCAAATGCAAGTTTTTTCAACAGGGTACTTTTTCGCAGCGGTTTACCATCCCTCTTCTGCCTCGTCTTGTCTTCCAAAGATATGCAGCAATCGACATTTTAGACAAATGGAAGAATGGCATGTGCTGCAACTTAATGTACACCAGGTTGAATGTTTAGGCTTCCATCGGGGACGTCCAATTGGTCTGGTGTTAGAACAAAGATATGAAAAAAAAGTGTCACGATTAAGCACACTGTTTGTTACGCTAAAGCTTAACAGACGCCGGCCTTTGTCATTCATGATGTCAACACCATTACCACAGAGAACGCTTGGCCAGGTGCTGTACTCAGCGCTCAACTTCATGTTGAGGTCATCTGTTGACCTGTTGTAATTGTAACTTCGTGAAGCGACAGAGTACTGAAAATCAACTGCAAGCATGGAAAGCATTTTTGTCTCCGTCATTTGACATGTTTTTCTATGAACATAGGCTACAATGGCATTCAGCGTCGCCTGTTTGATATTCACGTAACAAACTAAAATTTTCCTTGATA